TACAACATCAACATACAAAATATCAGGTGACCTTGAACCTGGGAGATGCAGAGGTCAAGGTCAAATAATAAAAACTTGCAATGCAACAATAATATTCACACATCCATGACTCTGGGAGGTGCAGAAGTCAAGGAAGAAAATAAACAGTTTTGTTTACACTGTCACAATATTTACATGGTATTCAACTTTGACCCTGTGTGGTGCAGCGGTCCAATAATGATTAAATATTACAGTTAAAGTGATGTATGCCGCTCAGTTCACAGTCAGTCTTCAGAAATGACAGCCGTGCCGAATATGTAGGTACCGATGACTACCTGCTTTGTAAAACTTTCCACTGAAAAGAAATAACAGAAACACCAGCAGTATCTATTCAACAATGTACATTTCGGGGATTAGGGGCAGGGAGGGATTTTAAAAATCTACGCTTAGCCATATTGTTTTTTAAAAAATTTATTAACACCAACCTTGCAACTAGCCTGTAACCGGCAAAGAGAGAGTTTGCAGCACGAGCGCTTTCTTTATATAATTGAAAGTTAGATAACTCGTGCTGAAACAAGGAGAGATAACTGCGCCAAAAAAATTGCGCTTCCAAGATAAAAGCATCTTATTCGCATACAGGCGAGATAGATGCCATATTATCTTGGACAGGCGCAATAAATCAAACACAAATTTTAATAGGTTTTATATTCATTTGGCGCTTTTGGGCACAGCTGAATTATACAACATATTATTTCAGGCCTCCAAAGCAACGGGTAGGCCCAGCAACACAAGCTCAACAACAACATTTCAGTACAACAGCAACATTTCAGTACAACATCAACATACAACATATCAGGTGACCTTGACCCTGGGAGATGCAGAGGTCAAGGTCAAATTGACTCTGGGAGGTGCAGAAGTCAAGGAAGAAAATAAACAGTTTTGTTTACACTGTCACAATATTTACATGGTATTCAACTTTGACCCTGTGTGGTGCAGCGGTCCAATCATGAACAAATATTACAGTTAAAGTGATGTATGCTGCTCAGTTCGCCACAAGACCCCAGTCGTATATGCATTAACAAGGCATCTACGAATGGGGGCGCTGTCACTTTACTAGTGGGGGTCCTGAGCGGCCTAGAGCAGCCGTGACCCTTTCTCTCCTGATATCAGTCATTAATGTGATGGGTAAAACTTGCATCCATGCCTAATGATCGCTTCTATACCCCCCTGAATTGTATTGAGAATAATTTCATTTCCTAACTTGGATAAATGTACCCCATCCCTTTCAAAAAATTGGGCATGATTTTTGATGTCAGGGTAGTGGATTACAGAACCCCCAACTTGACAAACTTTGTTAGAGAAAAATGCATTAAACCTCTTTCTGGTATTCTCCATGGCCCGACTATCTGACGAATAATGCCAACTAATGCGGGGAAGAATATGAGACCATATTAAGTGCACAAGAGGAAATTCCTCCCTAATAAAATCCAAGAATTTTATGCCTAACATTCTTAATTTTCTCACTGATGTTTTCCCAATATCATTTCCGCCACAGTGCACAAGGATAACATTTGGGGTAGGACCCACTTTTTTCAGCAACCGCAATTTAGCTAAAGCATTCTTAAATTCTATACCACTGCCACCAAATTGAAATATTTAATCTTTGCAAATTTAAGTCACACCTACCAGGCCTAATCTTTAAGCTTCTGCAAAAGCCCTTTTAATAGTTGATGCCCCAAACAACCAAGGCATTATGACTTGAAAATCTGAAATAATAATTCTGGGTTACTTAATTAAAATCTTGGAATACGTATGTAAGTTTTATAGCAATTGATTTCCATCTTCCTGAGGATTGAATAACTTGAGATGAAAACCCCTTTAAAGCCAATTCCGTATTTGCTCCAATACGAAAAGAGTGGGTTTTGTAGCCCCAAGACTCCAGGTTTAAGGCCGATATTGCTTTGTATAAAATCGAAGTAAACTGGTACTTAGAGAGAGGAGCTCCAGAAAAATGACAAAATAACGGACCCCCCTGCGTAGGTCTAATTTCCAAAAACCTTTGAAGATTAGTGCAGGGGCAAGTTAAATCCCCTGTGCCATGTATCTGCAAAATTGTACCCCTTCCATACTGATCGGTCTTTGAAAATTTTATTTTGAGGTATAATGTAGTGTTAGTGATAAATCAATATGAATGTCTGTATAGGCAACAACTCTATCTGAGGATTTGTCAGAGACTGCAAGTTCTCCTGCTCTAAGGAGGCCATAATATGCAATAGAAAATGCAGCTGAAAACAATGATACCTCATATGAATTTGTACATACACTGGGTAGAATTTTAAGAATCTGCTCTAATATGGACTTTGTAATGGGCAACCTACTGTCAATGCTGTGAGCAGTGCGTTTCAAGCCCTGTAACAACTTTTTTACTATGAACTCTTCTGTTGGATCTTTTTGACCTTGAAGTTTGCAGTTATAAGAAATGGACGCTAAGTACGAACGAACTGTAGAAAAGGCCAGGCCCTTAAGTGACAAATGTGGAACAAATCTAACAATCGAATCACAGGTGGGTGGCCAAGGAGTATTTAATCCTTGTTGCATGCAGCAGCTGAAGTAAGCTCTTAAACCGTTTTGATAAGCCTTGCTAGTGTTTTCAGATAATGCTGCCCCTAACAACTTGTTTATTTCATGCTGGATATGATGTTCTGGAATTTGATTGGTACAGGTTGCGGTGATGTCTGTGCATGTGGTGCAGCCTTCCAAAAACGGTGCCACTGCTGACGAGAAATTGAATCGGCAATAATGTTATCATTTGTACGGATGTGAACAGCACGTAAAAAAATATTGTTTAACATGCAGTCTAACACGAATGGACGAATTAATTTCATAACTCTATTGGATTTTGAGGACTGTTTATTCAAAACCGCAACCAATGCCTCATTATCAATATGAAATAGTACTTTTTTATTCGCGAGTTGACTACCCCATAAACTTATGGCCAAAACCACTGGGATAAGCTCTAGTGTTGTCATGTCACGCAAGATATCTGAATTAACCCATTCATGTGGCCAAGGAAAATATCACCATTGGCCTTGAAAGTATGCTCCTCAACCCAAATGTGCAGAACCAGCACTATCTGTATACAGATCTAAAACCAAATTTGAAGACCATGCAATCACTTTCTTGGAAATAAACTTGACCATTAAATTGCTCTAGGAAGCTTAACCACATAAGCATGTCTTGCTTCATTTCATTGTTCAACTTAATATGATGGTGAGGCTTAGATACGTATACGCCATGGGTTGAATTGTACAATCTCCTAACAAATGCTCTACCAGCAGAAATAGCTTTTGTAAAAAAGTTTAGCTTTCCTAACAATGACTGTAACTGACGCAGAACTACATGTTTTTTGCTTAAATGTTCATGCAGCATAGACTCCAATTCGATACATTTTTCATGGGGCATTCTGATTAACATTTGCACTGTGTCAATTTCTAAACCTAAAAATACAAGACAGTGAGTGGGATAAACCATTTTGTCATCAGCTAAGGGGACCCCCAGTTCATTACAAACTCCTTGAAATGTTTGCATTAATTTAAGACAGGACTCCCTATCCTCCCCTGCAAATATGAAATCATGTAAATAATGATCTAAAGTATCAAGACCACTCTTTTTTTCTGTAATCCAGTGCAAGAATGTTGCAAATTCTTCAAAAACTTTGCATGAGAGAGAGCAGCCCATTGGAAGGCATTTATCGATATAATATAAACCATCAACTTTGAATCCTAAAAGGTCAAAATCCCCAGGGAAAATAGGTAGTAACCTGAATGCTGATTTAATATCTACTTTTGCAATAAAGGCACCTTCACCAACCTTGGCCAAAATTTTTATGACTGTATCAAAGGATGTATATTATGAACTGTGGACTCACTAGGGTCTATATAATGATTTACACTGTTGTCTGTAGGATATGATAGGTGCGTGATCAATCGCCACCCAGCATTCTCCCCCTTTGGTACCACTCCTACTGGAGATACTTGGAGATTAGATATGGGTAGTTCTTTGTAGGGCCCCCCTACCCTGCCTAATTCAACTTCTTTGTTAATTTTTTCTTTAATTTCTGCTTTGTGTTTATAGGCTGAAATTAAATTGTTGTTTTCTATATGTAACCTAGGACCTGAGTAATAAAGTCTGAACCCCTGAGAAAAACCACTTAACAACTTGTTTGCTATGGTTTTGTTTGGATAATGATCAATTAAGGTAATTCTTTAATATAGGAATTTTAATTGGTGTTCTTCCTAGGACCCAAATATTTTTGGCTATTTCCCCTGTAATTCTGGTGTGGGATTGGGGTCTTTGGTAGGAGTTTGGTTGAGCTTGTTGTCTTGCATATGCATTTCTATACTGTGATTGAGGTTGCATGGGCTGGGTTCGAAAGGAGTAGGTGGGGTTCGATGAGCTACTGGTATTTGCCTGGGCTCTTTGATAATTGCATTGTATGACTGGGTGCATGCCGGCACAACGTGTACACGTGTGCATGTACTGACATGGATTTCCACTGCAGGACCCCTTAAAATTGAAATCAAAGCAACATTTGTTTATTTGTGTGTTTTGAGTCTGGGGAAGACCCAGCTAGCTGATAACTAGGATTCATGTATAACAACCACAGCTCTGAATCAACTATTGCTCAAAAACTAGAGGGATCTATAGATTTCCGCAGACGATACTGCGTGTCATATTGATATCACCCTGTAGCCCCCCTTGAAGCCCCCAAACAAACTGTATGGATATACTTTAGCATATCTACTGCTTTATCTGGATGGGCAGATATGTAAACAGATGCAAACATGAGCATGACATCTGTCCATTTTTCAATTGAATATATTTTGGACACATTTTCCTTTGTTACGATTTCCCCTGTGGCACTTAGGGTTAGTTTTTTATCATTACCCCCAGGTTTAGGTGGAAGCAGAGATTGTAATTCTACAAACTGACCCTCAATTATTTTTTGTTTCAAAGATTGATTAATGCATGTGCATACCCAAATTATGCACAGAGTGCACTGGCACAGCTTCCTGATTCTGGCTTATTTGGGCCTGGGGCTGTTCTTGCACCTGGCTGACTTGCTGTGTCGTGGGAGTCTGCAGCAGTTGGATCTGTTGTTGAGTCTGCTGAGGCTGCATGGGCTGATGAGATGGTCCAGGCATACCTTGCTGTTGTGTCATGAAAGTCTGCTGTGGTTGGGTTTGCTGGAGAACATTCTGCAGTGGCTGTGCAGGTATTGGAGCAGGTTGGACTTGTTGGTTGAAATGCTGCATTAATGTCTGCTGGCTGACTTGCTGTTGTGTCATGGCAGCCGGCAGTGGTTGGGTGTCATGTTGGGTCTGCTGAACCTGCATGGGATGATGACATGGACCTGGCATAGCTTCTGGATGGGGTTGAATGTTCGGGGATGGGGTTACTTGAGTTCGATCCATCCGCCTCCTTGCACGACCCCGATTCTCCATTGCTGTTGTTTGAGATGGTTCAAACCGCTGAGGTGGCCTGCCTTTCGTAGCTCGCTTAGTGCGTGGCATGTCAAGTCCCAAAAATTAAAATAAACCATTGATTTAAAAGAATTTATCTATTTATACAAAATATTAAAATGAATAGAAAACATGTAGTCAATGGTGCTAAATTCAGTGCCATAAAGTAAAATTTTACAATTTACAACAAAATAGTAGATCTAGGCCTAGCTGTAATTTTTTTTTTTTTTTTTTTTTTTTTTTTCTTTTATTATTTTTTAATTTTTTTTTTAGTTAATATTTATCCATTTACAGAAAATTGAAGATGAAAATAGATAAGTCGAAGATTCGCAAAAGATAAAGTTATAAAATTATTATTTATTAGATTATATTATTCGATTTTTTTTTTTTTTTTCACTTGCGACAAAGATGGCGGCTAGCACATGGTGATGCGAAAAAGAAAAAACTGAAATGCATTTGACCTGATCTCAAACCTTTGTCATCCAATAGATAAATAAACAGTACAAATTCATAATAAAGATTAATAGCAATCAAGACTTTTTTAGCAACAATCTATTTTAAAAATCTACACTTAGCCATATTGTTTTTTAAAAAATTTATTAACACCAACCTTGCAACTAGCATGTAACCGGCAAAGAGAGAGTTTGCAGCATGAGCGCTTTCTTTATATAATTGAAAGTTAGATAACTCGTGCTGAAACAAGGAGAGATAACTGCGCCAAAAAAATTGTGCTTCCAAGATAAAAGCATCTTATTCGCATACAGGCGAGATAGATGCCATATTACAATAGGATATTTTCAAAGATACCATAATTATCTCATTGGCATAGAGAAAAAGAATGGGGTCAGTGTGGGAGGAAACCAGAGTCCCCGGGGAAAACTTACGTGTCTGGCGACCCCATACCCTCTTACAACTCGGACACCTATTTCCAAAACAAATGTCTCAAAAAAATTTGTTCTGGATGATAACAAATTATAACATTGTAAACTGGATGTGCTTGTGTGTGCAGCACAGATCTGGCTTTCTGCATTGTTCCATCTTTCTTTGTCTTTCTCCAAACATGACCACAAGGATATGCCTCTTCAATACTTTTATTTTCTGTCAATGAATGATGTTCCAACCCAGTTTATACCGTATAAATTGGACAGCTATTAAATTCGCTCATTAAAATTCAATTCTCATTCATTTAGTGTGAAAAGAAAGATTATTGCCCTTAAAAAATGACTTCAAATTGTACAAAATAAAATGTAATGTCAGGCGGATTGATACATTTATGACTCACACAGGTGTGTTAATTAAGGAAGCACTAAGATAATCTGACTTGATTAAATCAGTGATACACTATGACATCATAGTAGGCGAGATGACATCAATTTTAGAACACAAGTTTTCTAAATATTGTTATTTAGAGATATAATTTAACTCATGAAAATGAATACAAACTTGCAAACATTAACAAAAATAAAATGTTTTTATTTTATTATGCTGTAATTCTGTCACTTGAATTAAAATCTTTGACCGATGACGTCATAACTGTTCAACAAGTTAACTTGAGAATTGATCATGTTGTGTAATGAGAATCAATTTTATCTTCTATTGAAGACAGTCAGGTATTTACGTATCCCAGTTGGCCTTGCCTTTGTCATTCGTTACAACAAAAATGCAGAAGAACAACAGTAAGCTGCATGGATATTTCAAAACATAATATTTATACTTATCAAAAGCTTGCATTCTATAGTGCTTGGAAAGTGCTGCTAGAATCATGTGGTAAACTTGGTTTAATTGAAGAAATATCTCGGGATTTATGTATATAATGCAAAACATCAGGTAAGGTTTCATGCGAATATGTGGAATAATTATTTTCCTGACTGGACAGTGGCATTCTAGCAGCACTTTTTAGGCATAAGGGATGTTTTTCAACTATATTATTTACTCAAAGAAATTATCAAACCTCGGGGTAGTGTTGTTCTGTTAACTTTTTTATTAAGGAATATTTTGCTATTAATAGCAGTCACGTGATGACGTTGTGGTGGTGCACTTCTTGGCCTAAGATACTCTGATGTCTTTATGCAATAGTTAATTAAATAATAGTTTATGTTTTATCGGCAACTTTGATAAATTATCAAACTTAATTTTCTTTAAAAAGAGAAATGATTTGTATGTTTCCTTTAAATATCCGCACAAGTAATTGTCACATAGGCAACTCATATTTACGATATAAAGTAAATTTTTTATCCAATCAAATATCGCGTTATAACCAGAATTAAATTGTTTTTAAATATAGTAAAATGCCTTGTAATATAATTTTCAGAATTATTTCTCATATAAATGCATATATCAACAAATGTTACCCAAAGATTCTACTAAAAGTTTGGCTCCCAATTTTATCTGACGTTATAAACACTTTTACCACCCCCACCCCCCCTTTTGTTAAAAAAAAGCTTTTGAATTATTTTCCTGCAAATACAACACCAAAAAGGCATAATGGCGTGAAGTGAAAACAGGTAATCAGAGATTACAGAGCTCACCTCAACGAATGTTATCTTTAAGTAAGGCAAAGTCCCATACTAAACTAATAATCTAGTAATATGCATCCCTAGATGCAACATTTATGCAATTTTGGACTGATAGGGCTTGCAGTTACTTGGATTTATCTAAAAACTAGTCGCTAATCCAGAAAATGTATGTCAAATCCCTTAAGCTTCTTCAATCTTGGCAATGGACTTGCTCCAAAAACTTTAACCTGATCACTCAACTGGAAAATGTAGGTCAGATCCTGCATCCGAAGCAAGTCCAGTAGTGTGCATCCTTTGATGTACATGTATCATCCTGGTCAACATAGGACTTACATTTACTTAGAAATGAGATCTGCTCCAAAAACTTTAACCTGGTCACTCATCCAGAAAATGTAGGTCAGATCCAGCAAGTTCTGTAGTGTGCATCCTTAGATGTATCATCCATGCAAGTTTGGTCAATATATAGGACTTATAGTTACTTGGAAATGAGATCTGCACCAAAAACTTTAACCTGGTCACTCATCCAGAAAATGTAGATCAGATCCAGCATCCGAAGCAAGCCTAGTAGTGTGCATCCTTAGATGTATCATCCATACAAGTTTGGTCAACATAGGACTTATAGTTATTGGAAATGAGATCTGCTCCAAAAACTTTAACCTGCTCCAACAACTCAAACCTGCTCCAAAAACATTAACCTTGTCATTCTTTAGCTGAAATTGCAGCATCTGAAACCTTGACTGGTACAATGAAACATACTAAAGGCATCCTCCATGCATCTCTGATTGATATAGGGTATAGAAGTACTTGAAAAGAAAACTGCTCCTAAAACTTTAACCTGGGAAGCCGACACTGACGCCGAGGGTATTACATAACTCCCCCAACTTCGTTGAGGTGAGCCAAAAAAAGGCTATTACTCCTTTAAACATAGGTAATCAAAGATTACGAAGCTCACCTTGACGAATGTTATATTTAAGTAAGGCAAATTTCACATCATATAATTTCTTTTTTTTAGTTAGTGTACATCCCAAGATCAATATCCATGCAAGTTTGATTTAAGTACAACTTATAGTTACTTAGAAAAAGACCTGTTCAAAAAACGTTTATCCTGTTTACTACTCAAGAAAATTTTGGTCAGTTCCAACATCCAAAGTCTGGAAGTTTTCATCCTTATATGCACCATCTATGCAAGTTTAATCAAAACAGGTCATAAAGTTATATAGCTACTCCAAAAAAAATTATCCTGGTCACTCATCTGGAAAATGTAGGTCAGATTCAGAATCCAAAGCAAGTCTGGAAGTGACCATCCCTAGCTACATCATCCATGCTAATTTGGTTAAAATATTGCTAAAATTCACTCATGTGGAAAGTCTAGGTGGAATCCAGCATCTAAAGAAGGTTGGTTAGCGTACATCCCAAGATGCATCATCCATGCAAGTTTGGTCAAGGTAGGGCTTATAGTTACTTGGGAATGGACCTGCTCCAAAAACTTTAACCATGTCACTCATCTGGAATATCTAGGTCAGATCCAGCATCTGAAGCAAGTGTGGTAGTGTCCATCCCTAGATGCATCATCCATGCAAGTTTGTTCAAGGTAGAGCCAATAATTTCTTGGAAATGGACCTGTTCCAAATATTTTAACCTGGTCACTCATCTGGAGCAAGTGTGGTAGTGTCCATCCTTAGAGGCATCATCCATGCAAGTTTGGTTCAGGTAGGTCTAATAGGGCTTATAGTTACTTGGGAATGGACTTGCTCCTAAAACTTTAACTGGGACGCCGACGCGGGGGTATAGCATAAGGTCAATTCGACTTCGCCGAGGTGAGCTAAAAATGCATTATTACACCTTCTTTTTCCATTACTATCATTTGCAATTCTTTTCTTGCTATGATATGATTTATTGAAGCATGCACATTAAAACTATTACAGCTGTAAGATAACAAAATATAGGCAATATCATCTATAAGCAGTGGCAGTTGGCTGTAAGCAGCGAGCAGCTGACAGTAAGCAGTGAGCAGTTGGCTGTTGTATATGGAATTCCATAAAAATAGTGTGGTACTAATCCTAGCAATAACAATCCTAAGTATCAATTTCCTTTGAGATTAACATGCTAACCACTATGCTACACAACTGATGAATAGCAGCATTTAGATCATGTTTGTGATACGACTCTTAACAAAATTGTCTCCGAATATTTCTCAGAAAGATACAAATGTTGTGTCATAAAAGTGTATTTTTAAGAGACAGTGGGTCTTTGCTCCATGTTTTTGTTCACCAAACAATGTATAGTTAAACGCAAACTTTGAGGATAAACTTTCAAAAAAATGAAGCAAAGACCCATTCACATCGAAAAGTTGTGTCATATAGTATGAGATAATGATCCTTTTTGCCCTGTTTAGTGTGTGTATGCTATTTTATAAGCAAATAATTTCAATCTTTGTGAGATTTTTTGCATATTGTAGAGATTTTACATAAAGTATTACTATGTTAGATGAAATATCACAGAAAATTTTGTTATAACTGAGATTTAATTTTTTACCTTCATGTTTGTTGCACTATAGGTATTCTGCTTGTCATTTTTTGCCCATCTTCTTTGGCATACATTCAGTGATGTCAATATGTCATAAGATACCAAAACTTCTCCTCTGCTTTTAAGGGCTTGGAACCTTCTGCTTGAAAAAACATGCAAATATGTTAATTCAAGCAGGCAGCATTAAAAGTTTTGTGCCTTTTGCTCCTTTTATATGTATTTTTTTCTTTCAAATCTGTTTTCTTTTTTTTCTTTCTTTCATTTTTTTTTTTTTGTTTTTTTTTTTTGTTTTTGTTTATTTTTTTGCTTTCTTTTTGTTATTATTGTTTGTTTTTTTTTTTTTTTGTTTTTTTTTTTTTGTCTTTTCTTGTTTTTTTTCCTGGCTTTTTTTTGTTTGTTTTGTTTTCTTCTTTTGCACAATGAAATCAGACATTAAATTCACAAACATTCACAAATCACTATTTCACATAAACAAATCACGTACAATTTGACATTCAAAAATCACAATTTGACATTAACAGATCACAATTTAACATGCTCAAATCCCATTACTTTACATTATTAAATACAAATCATAATTTCACATCAAAATTTATAATCAATTACTTTTACTGAAGATTTAGTCAGTATATAATGCATTCAATTTCACAATAAGCTAATAATCAGAATTGACTATACAAATTATTACTGGTACAGTAGCTGACAGAATTTGTACATTCCAGGAATACTAATTTAATATTTAACAATCATTATATCTCCAACATATATGATTTTTTGATTTTAGATAAAATGAAAACAGATTATTAAAGACAAAGCAGCCTACAACTAGTTGCGTTTTCAACCCCTCCTCCCCAGGCCAGCCTGGCAACCGTAGCGGCCAAGGATCCACGAAGTTCCAACCAGTAATGCCCCAGGGTATCGACAAGGTCTACTTACAACTAGCTTTCAACTACTTCATCTAAACATTTTATAATATAAAATATAACAAACTACGTAAAATAACATTAGAGCAAAACAATAGATAAAGATATTAACATTGGCACAGAGAAAAAGAATGGGGTCAGTGTGGGAGGAAACCGGAGCCCCCGGAGAAAACCCACGTGTCTGAGTGGGCGACCCCATACCCTCTTACAACTCAGACACCCATTTCCAAAACAAATGTTTCAAAAAAAATTGTTTTGGATTATAACATTGTAAACTGGATGTGCTTGTGTATGCAAAAAATCTGGCTTTCTACATCTGTCATCTATCTTTGTCTTTCTCCACATGCGATCACAAGGATTTGCCTCTTCAATACTTTTATTTTCTGTCAATGGATGAGAAAAAAAGGTAATTAACCAATAGGATCAATGAAGTAAAATGAAGAACAGAGTCTTACAGAATGGCATACTTGGGTGACTTATTTCCATACCTGATGGCTCCTTGTCATTCATGTCAAGCACATCCACAAGACTTTATCTGAGTCTCCTACTGGGTACTGTCATCAAAGCACACTATAACATAGAAGTTAATACTTCACCATCTATCTAAGTATAAACAGAAATTAATAAAAGAATATCTAAGTTAAATATTATATAGCTCTAAGATATCTTTTTGCTGTACTTTTTCAAAAAAAGATGTTGGATCATTGATTATGTCACATACCTGATCAGTGACAGTTCTTCACAGGGATAAGTCTTGTTGTTAAGAAGGGCTTCCACCAATTCCTGTCTGACTGTGGCTGTTCATTTCCACATCTTGAGGGTCAACATCCATCAGTCTTGCCTTTTCCAGGTTTTTTCACAAATTCCTGTCTGGTGTAGAAGCTCATTTTCACATCTTAGAGGGTCAACATATCCATTAGTCTGGGTACAGTCCACTAATTCATTTCCCATAGGTAACAATGTTAATGTTTTCTCACACAGCTTCTCCCCTAATTTTCATTGAAGGATGGGACACGTCCTCAAATGAATGCTAATCAAATTTTCTCTAACTGGTTAAAATCTCAAGGTACACATGGCATATCAGATTTGTTTTCCAGCAAATTACACATGTTCGCAAAAACATCTGAAAATGAAAGTAAGAGTAAGGTAATTCCCAAATTCAGGGTATAATTTTGCACATATCAAACAATTAATTCTTTTTCTTTCAAAGATAACACAAAAATGATAATCATGTTTTTGAACGACTGGGATATTTTTCTTCTTTCATAAGTATTAGCACCTTTAGTTTAGATGACTTATAATTATTTTATAGATATACTGCTTGCAAGTTATATTGGATCAAACTATTTCGGTTTAGTGAACTACTTGCTACCCTACCAATTCTAAAAATAATAGGGCAGCTGGGACGATACAACTTTTTCTATATCGATACGTATCACGATATTTGACCCACGATACGATACTTATCACGATATGTTTAATTGGTTATAAAATATATATCTTTTTTGTATTGAAATGAACCTAACATTTCTTCACAAATAAAAAAATAATTTATTCATAGAAGTTGTATATCTGTTGTAAAACAAAATTATTTTACACAATTGTTGTTAATTATTATGTATTCCATATTTATATTTATATTTAGCATATATATTTTATATATTCAACCAAAAATGTTAAGTAAACAAAGAAATACATAAGTCAGAATTTTTTCTGCGATATTTCGATATTTCTTCATACATATCGACATGCGTATCGTCCTCATACAGAATCGATATTATCGATATCTTGATATATCGTCCCAGCCCTAAAAAATAATTAGAGGAATATACCCCGTCTTGCCAGGTTCTTCCACCAATTCCTGTCTGGCTGTGGCTGCTCATTTTCACATCTTTGAGGGGCAACATCCATCAACATTGCATTTTCAACCAATTAATTGTTTCCACCAATTCCTATTAGGTTTCTTTTTTTCATGATGTTGAAGGAAACTTCATCCACACTATTCTTAGAAGTCTCCTCTGCAACCTGTCAGATGCAAGTGTCTTATTTTAAACATTATATCATGCAGCTTATGATTTTCTCATTTGCATAAAAGAAAGATAAAAGCCCAGAGGAGGTCAGTGTGGGAGGAAGATGGAGTACCGAAGAGATTTAACCCATATGTGTCCGAATTGTGCGACCCCAAACCCATTTGTAATTTGGACACCCTTCACAAGAATGTTTTTTAAAATGGGTTTTTGATTTGAAAAATAGAAAAACATTGTTGCTAGAATGCATTTATATCAGTGCTTTGAGATTTGAATATCAGCTTGTCCTGCTTCTCCATACATTATCTCAAGAACGTGCTCCCTAAAATTTATTTGTATTATATACAGGGGGAGAGAAGAAGATATACTGTAAATCACTTTTCATTTGCTAGAACTTTATTTCGCATTTTCGGTGCTAACGAAAATTTTATTCAGGCATATACCTGGTATTAGTATTCCTAAGGATATCATATAGAGCAATAACCATAATTCGTGAAAATTTTGTCTTGCTAATTAAGAGTAAACTACTTTCTCGTGAAAATTTAGTGATCTACAGTATTTTAAAGAATTTATGATTTTTCACTATGTTCATTAGAACCCCACCCCTTACTTCAGAACCCTAACTAAAGGGCCATGAATTTCACAATTTAAAAGAGAGCTCATTGTTTTTTTACAATCATGCCAACAGTTTGACTGCTTGATGTTCAGGAGTAAAGAAGAAGCTAATTTTAAAGATAGAACTAATTTTGATGGTTTTAACCCCACCCCTAAGGCCCCAGAGTGCCACTGGACCATGAAATTCATAATTTTGTTCCCCTTCAATCATAGATAATCTTGTTTGCCAAAATTGGTTGAAATTGGTTTAGCAGTTCTAGAGAAAATGCTGAATATGTTCAAATATTAACACATGATGGACGAAGACAGACAAACAGATAGGAATAGATCACCTGAGTGATTCAGGTGACCTAACAATTACAAAAAATAGTAATCAAGGTAACTTTGCCATACCTGAATGGTCCCCATTCTTGATAATGTCATCATTATATAATGAAGCATTAACCAAGCCAAAATGAGATCTGCTTAATTCGATCCCTACATTGGATGGTCTTCAAATCTTCAAACTATAAAGAAAAGGAAACATATGCTATATAGCATCCACTAGAACATTAAAACAGAAAAATGAGGAAAACTATTGACACCCCAAGGAATACCTGTAAAAATGTCAACCACCACTTCAGCTGAGGTTGACAGTGGTTTTTCCAGGGGTGTTAATTTTAACTTTTACTCTCAAAAACATGCACTATTTATTTTTTATATTGACTGTCTTATTGATTTAATTAGGATGTCAGCAAAAAAAGAAAATTCGGAGATTGTCCTTTAAGTTCAGGTTTAGAAATTAAGCTTTCAAACTCCTCACTTTTGTTTCAATAAGAAATTTAAGCTTTGAAAAAGATTAAACAACCTGACTTTATTGTTTATTTGATACTTAGAGATCGAGTTCTTCATCATCTAAAGTTTGTTAATTGAAGCATTTATGGTCTGTTGTTTGATGTTTTATCAATCAAGCTAGAATATTGGACAATTAAGCTTTGATTGACATCAACTTTATTTGGCTTAATTCTTTCAAATGCACAGGTGATATCTTGAGAACCATACTTGCATAATTTACATGCAACATTATAGTTGTGTTAACCCCGGAGTCGTTGTCAAGTGTGTTGCTTATGCTAAGGGTAACATTACAAATTGTTAAATGCCTACTCTAAACCAATCAGATTTTAGTATTTAACATGACAGTATAATAAAAAAAAAAAGGTCAAGCAAGAAATGAAATTTCACAGCATAAACAAATTATATCAGATGTATCATTCTGGGATCTTATATCACTTTCAGAAGTAAATACAAACATCAAACATGAGGCCCAAGTGGGGAATTGACTGCAGCAAGTTGTGCATCAGGTCACCTAGTGTTAACACAACCTCTATTTATAGAATGTCTCACACACAGGCCTTGGAGCGAAAAATTACATAATTTCCAATGCATATGTATATCCATGCACCTTAAGTGTGGATAACATTCATCTCTGTAAACCCCCCCTCCCCCCAATACTTAAATATCAAAAACAACTCTATATTTTCGTGAAAATATATAATTTCCCCATCAATTTCATCTTGACGTTATTCCGTGCAATCAGTTTATGCTGTTTCACACAAATTGTTTTCTTAATGCCAGTGCTCGTTATCTCTAACAAAAATGTATATATACTCTGTCTTTCATAATCAATGATGATGATTTTGTCTTTGAAGAATAAACCATTTTTTAAAACTCAGATTTGGATGAGTGATGAGCAGGCGCGGATCCAGAAATTTTTTCTAGGAAGGGGGGGGGGGGGCTTCCAACCCAGCCAAAAATAAAAATTCAAACCCAGAAATTTCTTGACAAGCAAAAAAATAAAAGTAGACTCCTTTCCCAAACGTGAAGAACCTATTTCGGGGGAGGGGGGGGGGGTAGTGGTTGACTTCTAAAGCTTCATATCTATGACTTTTCAGACCTAGATCCGCGTTTTCGAGGAGGGGGTCCGTGTTTGGGGGGGGTACATGGTATTTTTAATTGGTTTAGTATATACGATATTTTATAAGCTCTTCAAATTCCAGGGAGGGGGGTCTGGACCCCCTCTAGACCCCCTCTAGATCCGTGCATGATAAGGGAGACATTCTGATAGATAATTGGAATGTAAGTCTAATTAGTGTGTATTTTATTGACCATTGCATGTATATGCTACATGTTCTGAGGAAAAAAAAATCGTAAATAAATCACATTGCTACGATAACTTTTAATTAGATATGAACTACATGCATTTAAAATAAAGAATATTGCTTCCTATGTCTGAATTATACCTGTGCTTAGTGAAAAACTTGACATCAAATTTTCCGTTTTCCTTCCATTCTGCGTTTTAGCAACACCCACTATTCATTATCTAATACATCTTCAATGTGAGCATGGAACATTGGCTTTGGTGTATAATCTTTCAATTACAGCCAAAAAAATTGAAAAAGAAGTTGTACTGTTTTTCCAGTGACCAAGTAAATATTATGTACTATAATGACAAAAACCACATGTAGCTGTTTAATAGTAAATACATAGTAGACTGCCATGCTTTGCAACTCATTCAATAGATTGGATAATGGGTTTGACGAAAATACGCGGGTATGTTAAGGCTACACCCAGAGATATACTACTTGCCTCTACAATATGACGTCATAGTAAGCTGTATGACGTGAAGTTTAGAGATAATGATTTCTTAATATCTACATTTAAAGTTTAATTTCAGGTCCTAGAAATGAATGGAATCATTCAAAAACATAAGATAAACAAAATAATGTCGTTTTTGGGTGGTATAAACAGCTACGTATTTATCATGTAAAATACCAAATCCATGACGTCATAACTATTGATCAAAAGAGCTAGGTTCACTTTATGCATAAAATGGCCCTGTGGAGATACCAATTTATTGAATAACACTTCATGTTCCATTTTAAACATCACATTAAAGTAGAGACTTAGTGCTATCATTTCCTATTAAAAAATTTTCTTCTTAAAGCCAGGATCTTGGAAAACAGGCTTCATGGAATTGCAATGTTCTTGAATTTTAAGGAAAACAAGTCTATTTGAGTACTTTCACAGAAGAGAAATAATATGAGCGCACCCTCTGATTTAAAAGATAAAACATGTTTTGTAATCCTCAGAAATAGTTCTATCATTTAATAGTTGCATATTTTAGATCAGAGGTTGCGCTCTATATTAAATATCGAAAAATAGCTTTAAAAATTGGCTGTTTTTGTAGATTTTTTCAGGATATGAGGAAAATGACGCATTTCATGACGTCATAATGCATTGACTAGCCAGAAAATTACGTCATTTTTGATAGAAACTCAGTCACCAAAGGTCTAAATGATATTTAATGCATTGTCAACTAAAACCAAGCAGTTTCAGTTTTTCTGAAATTCACAGGGCCAAAAAAGGCCCTAAGTGAACCTTGTTCTTTGCCGAGTGAAAATTAAACGGGACGAGAATTCATGTAAACAAATATGTAAAACGGGAGTTTTGAAGCATATACCGTGAATGTTATGTGTGATTCATTAGGAATTAAAGATTAAGAATCAGTTACGCTGATATATTCAAATGATGTTTTCTTATAATGAACACAGGCAGTGCTTTAAAATCCCGATCAGCCTTTCCTCTGTCGTTCTATAACAACAAAGTTGCAAAAGTTCAACACTACGCCGCATACTTTGAGACATAATTTTTGTTTGTATCGAAAGCTTGTATTCTATAGTACTTGGAAAGTGCTGCTAGAATCGTGTGATTAACATGAATTGATGACAATTCCTTGATTGTTTGTACAAAATGTAATAATTTTGGTAAGGTTTCATGAGAAACTTTGTAATAATTTTTTCTGTGTCGGGAGAGTAGGATTCTAGCAGCACTTTTCATGACCCAGTGATGTTTTTACATAATTATTTTCACAAAAAGAATTGAACTATCCCCGGGGTAGTGTTGAACTTTTTACTTTTTCATTAAGGCAATTTTTCTATTTATAGACGTCACGTGATGACATCGTAGTGGAGTGCTTCTTTTAGCCTAAACCTCAATGACGTCTATACAATGGATAATTATAGTAAATGTTTTATCTATGGCTTTTCCGATTTATCAATGTTACATTTTACGAAAAAAGTCTAAATTCGCCGAAATTTGATCTGGGTACTGCCTTAACATACCTGTGTATTGTCATGCGATGAAAAATACCTTCCATAAAAGATAGTGTACTCGACCTGATTATAAGTTTCACAGAAATTTGTAAAACTATTTATATGTTCCTGAACCTTCTGGCATTCCCACTGTGGGAGTCCCACATGGAATAATATGAAAAATTGTTTCCTCACATGTCTGACAGAAGCTACACAATTTATGTCCTGTTCACACATGGTTTAATTCCAATTAAATGCAAGTTTCTGAGAATTCAACTTGAACCACTTTCACTTGGAAAATTTAATGTGAATTAGTTTTATTCAAATTAACTGCCTATCAAATTATTTTGCATAAGCTCCATGTGAACACTAAGCAAAGCTAATTTGAATTAAATTCTGATGCTGTGTTCAGTAAAACTCATACACGGACATAGCGGATTCACGGATATAGCAAAGTTTTTTGGAATCCCCGGCGAAATTCTTAACAAATCCTAGGAAAATATTACGGTTAGCTAAGATATGTTAATTTATTCTTAATTGTAGCCATTGTAATCTGGAACTTTTTATTAATAAGATACTAGTAATCTTGGATCATGTCACATACCTGATCAGTGTCAGTTATCTGCTGTGAAATGTCTTGAAAGGAGGGGGGGGGGGGGTAACATCCATCAGGCTTGTCCTCCTCCATTCGTTTCCACCAAGTCCTGTTGGCCGCAGCTGCTGTTTTCACATCTTGGAAAATCATTGTCCATCAGGCATGTCTCCTCCAGTTGTTTCCACCAAGTCCTGTTGGCTGCAGCTACTGTTTCCACATCTTGGAAAATCAATGTCCATCAGGCATGTCTCCTCCAGTTGTTTCCACCAAGTCCTATTGGTTCCAGTTGCTGTTTCCACATCTTGGAAAGTCAATGTCCATCAACCTTGCTCCTCCAGTTGATTTCACCAAGTTCTGTTGAGTGCAGCAGCTGTTTCCCCATCTTGGAGATTGATTGTCCATCAGGCATGCATATTCCATTTCCACCATGTCCTGTTGTCTTTTTCACTCAAAACTGAAATTTAGATATCACTGCAAAATACAACAAAGAACATTAGAAACATGCTTAATAATGATACCATCAACAAATAATTAAAAACTGATATACATACCAATAACAAATAACTAATACTGACATACCAATAATAAATACCTAATACTTACATACCAATAACAAATACCAAAATAATACTGACATACCAATAACAAATAACTAAAACTCATAAAAATAACAAATAACTAAAACTCATAACAATAACAAATAACTAAAACTCATAACAATAACAAATAACTTAAACTCGTAACAATAACAAATAACTAAAACTCATAACA